CAGTGCCTTAAAGGGGGGGGCTGGAACCCCGGGATGCCCCCACCAGTACAAACCAGTACGGACCAGTTTGGGTCAGTTTGGACCAGTCTGAACCATTTTGGGTCACTTTGGACCAGTTTGGACCAGTTTGGGCCACCTTGGACCACTTAGGATCAGTTTGGCCCAGTTTGGCCCAGTACGGACCAGTTTGGCCCAGTTGGGATCAGTTTGGACCAGTCTGAACCATTTTGGTTCACTTTGGACCAGAACGGACCAGTTTGAACCAGTTTGGGCCACTTTGGCCCACTTTGGACCAGTTTGGACCAGTCTGAACCATTTTGGGCCACTTTGGCCCAGTTTGGACCAGTCTGGACCAGTTTGACCCAGTCTGAACCAGTCTGAACCATTCTGGACCAGTTTGGCCCAGTATCTCTGAGTTCCCTGGACCAGTCTGAACCGGTTTGGACCAGTCCAGATCAGTTTGGGCCAGTAATTCCCAGTTTCCCTGGACCAGTCCGGACCAGTCTGGACCAGTTTGGACCAGCTTGCTCCAGTTCCCCTGACCAGTATCCCCCAGTCCCCTGGACCAGTTTGGCCCAGTTTGGCCCAGTTTGGACCCAGAATTCCCAGTTCCCTGGACCGGTCCGGACCAGTTTGGACTCGCAATTCCCAGTTCCCTGGGCCAGTTTGGACCAGTTTGGCCCAGTTTGGACCCAGAATTCCCAGTTCCCCTGGACCAGTCCGGCCCAGTTTGGCCCAGTTTGGCCCAGTTCCCCTGGACCAGTCTGGACCACTTTGGGCCAGTTTGGGCCAGTAATTCCCAGTTTCCCTGGACCAGTCCGGACCAGTTTGGCCCAGTTTGGCCCAGTTCCCCTGGACCAGTTTGGGCCAGTTTGGACCCAGAATTCCCAGTTCCCTGGACCAGTCCAGACCAGTTTGGACCCAGAATTCCCAGTTCCCCTGGACCAGTCCAGACCAGTTTGGCCCAGTTTGGCCCAGTTGCCCTGGACCAGTTTGGCCCAGTTTGGACCCAGAATTCCCAGTTCCCTGGACCAGTTTGGACCAGTTTGGACCAGTCCAGACCAGTCTGGACCAGTTTGGGCCCAGAATTCCCAGTTCCCCTGGACCAGTCCGGACCAGTTTGGCCCAGTTTGGCCCAGTTTGGCCCAGTTCCCCTGGACCAATCCATTCCCAGTCCATCCCAGTCCATCCCAGTCCATCCCAGTTACCGAACGCCAGGGGGGAGGGGGGGGCTGGGATCATTGGGAGCCCCCCCGGGACCGCCCAGGCCCCGCCCCCTTTAACAAACCCCGCCCCTTTCCCACT